CAATCATTCTATCTCCAGCTTCATTTCTGTCACCAAGTCCATGTTTTCCAACTACCGATTCTTCTTCCCTGTTCCCAACTTTTGCGTTCCAGTCGCCCATTATTATCAATGCATCCTGATTGCATGTTCCATCTATCTCTGCCTGTAAGAGTTGGTAGAAATCATCTATTTCTTCTTCTTTGGCTCTGGTGGTTGGTGCATATATCTGGATGATAGTAGTGTTCACTGGACTTCCTTTTAAGCATATGGATATAATCCTATCACTCACAATGTTGTACTTCAGGATGGACGTAGAAATTTCTTTTTTGACTATGAAAGCAACTCTGTTTTTTCTCACCTTTTCATCTCCAGAATAATATATCATATGATCATCTGACTCGAAATGCCCCATGCCAGTCCATCTCGCCAGTCCATCTCATCTCTCCAATGCCTAGTATGTCAATATTTATGCGTTCCATTTCTTTCTTAACAATTTCTAATTTTCCTACATTCATGGTTCTCACATTCCATGGTCCAATTACTAGTGTCTGCTTACAACTGTTCCTCTTCCTTTGTATTTCCCTGCTTGACAGTCCTACCTAGGTTGCCCTTTCTGTTCGTCTACGTGTGTTGTGTTGTACATATGGTTTTCAGAGGCCTGCCATTTCAGAAGTGGATGGCCAATATGATTAAATAAACTACAACTCATACCCTGTGAACACCAGATCTGAACTTTGGACCATCTTCAAGGTCTCTGAATGCTCTATATGCTTTACACTTATAGTCATTGTGTCAATCCATCTTGCTGATGGTTTTCCTCTTTTCCTCTAACTCTTCACTTTTCCCAGCATGATGTCTTTTTCAAAGGTCTGGACCTTCCTGACAACATACCCAAAGTATGTGAGATGAAATTTCACCATCCTTGCTTCTAAGTGGCATTCTAGTATCCCAGGAAGCAAATTTTAATTTGCTTTAGTGCCATGGTTTGTATCAAGTTCACCTTAGTCTTTAAATAGTTATCATTGCTCTTCAGCAACTTTAGAGATGTTCTTGACAGTAGATTTCCCAAATGTAACATGTCTTTTGATTACCTTTTTTAAAAAATTATTTTTTATTTTCATATAATAATTCTTTACATTATGTTTCATTCATATACATTATGTTTTATATAATCTTTCATTCATATATATTATGTTTTATATAATCTTTCATTTACATTGTATTTAATACATTCATATATATTATATTTTACAATATTTTTAAAAATTGGTTTGATTACAAAGTTTATATACCTTGTGTCTTCATTCACATCGTGTTTCATATGTCATTCTCATACATTATGTTTTATAAAATTAATCCCCATTGGACCTTGCCCATCCTTATCCTATCTTTTCATCCAGATCCTTCCCAGTTGCTTTCCCTCAATACCTTCACACACCCAACTGTGCAACCTTGTGGTTACAGTGATTGTGGATCCAAGTAACATGAAATCATTGACAATTTCTATCATATCTCAATCTACCATAATTAATGTTAACTTTTGGTTCACTGATGGTGTAGTCTGTAGGGAGCTGTGCTGCTAACCCAAAGGTGGTGCTTCTCTGGAGGTTTGGATGCACCAGCAATTCCTTGAAGGAAAGATGAGCAATGTGCTCTCATATGATTTACAATCTCCATAAACCTGGAGAATCAGCTATGAATCAATTCTGATTCAACAAAATGAAGGATATGTATTTTGAATCTTTCTTGCAAGAAGCCAACAGTGCTGTTTTCCTTTATATCCCAGTACCAGGGAACCCTCTATAGGGATGTAGACATGAACAGGGGTAGTAATAAAAGCTTTTTCATCTACTTGGATGTGGAAACTTTCCTTTAGCTGCAATGAGCATGGTATCCCACACAGGCAAGCTAAGTAGTTTAGGTCAAATGCCATAAAAATGATAGCTATGTACCCAGAATTAATTTGAAATCTAGCACCTAATGAATGTGCTTATTTGGGAAAAAAAACCCACCCCAAATGGTAAGAAAAGATGGATCTCAGCCTATCTTTAGAGGGCAAAATCACATAAAAATACCAATCTGCTTTTTTTTAAAATGTAGGTTGTTTATTTTTCATTTCAATGAACATCTACAGAGATTTTGGGATTCCATTCATTCATTGTTGC